GCACAAGTGCGCTCGGGTATAAAAATGGTTAAATAAACAATTGGGTATTGTTATTGGAAGTCTCCTGGAGAANTTTCATTCTGATAATTTATGTATACATTTGTCTATATCTATCTCGATTCGTTTTGCCTGTTACAAACAACCGTTATGTGAACAAAGTTAATATACCCTTGTGCACAAGTGCGCTCGGGTATAAAAATGGTTAAATAAACAATTGGGTATTGTTATTGGAAGTCTCCTGGAGAAAACCAGAGTTTTCCGATCGAAAAAATATTGATTTTCAAGAATTCCATACCATTTCCACAAGCGGTTTGAACCATGATAAAAATATAGTAAGGTAGAACCGCTGAGAGTCACTTTTAAAATTCTTGACGTTTCCAAACAATTTAATTTTTAAATTTACTCACAAACTCACACACACATTTTCATTTTCAATCTCAAGCAACAACAATTTCGAACAATTTCAATTTTTTGTTTTCACTTTTATATGATTTTAAAATGTTGGCAAACTTCAAAAAAAAATCATGGCCGACAAATTGAGAGAACGGTTATACCTTGCTATGTTTTTATCATGGTTTGAGCGACCTCTAAATATTTTTTGACTTCAAAAAAAATAGAAGTTTATAATTTTTCGATATATAACATTCCTAGAGGGTGAGAGCACTAAAATTCTGACTTTACTTATTTTGGACCACCCTAATGTACATACTCGCTAAAGCTTTCTGGTCTCCCTTTGGCTTTTTTATAATTTCCACTTTAATTTATTTATTTCAATTCTTATTATTTTCGCCCTGTCCTCCTTAACTCAAAGCGGCACTTCGCTTTCAATTTCAATTTCGCATGCAATGAAGTGTTAAATTCAATTTAAAATCGTTAACTCGCTTATCGCCAAATGCGCCAGCAGCCAGTCATGTGCGCAAAGCGCATGTGCGGTGGCAGTCCATGGCAGCAATGCTGCGTTGCATGTTATTCAGTAGCGAAAACCACTTGTGGCGCTCAACGTTTACTTGTGGCAGCATAGTGTTCGCGTGCAGACGCGTCATCATGGAGCAATTGGAGAAGGAATTTGCTGACTTCTTCGGCGAATGTAAGCAGCAAGGATTTACCTCCAAAGAAATGCGTGCCATATGTCAGCCGCTGTTGCATCGTCGCAACAACAGATGTTACGTGTTACTGGGCGTCTTGTTGGCTATGATGGCCGCCTTTTATTTACTCTATAACTGGTCCGAAGAATTTAGTTGGTTTGTTAGCGCCATTGGACGTTTGGTGTTGCTACAGCTGTTGCCCTACTGGAATTGGACGCCTCTATATAGTAGCCGGTGTCTAATTGAGCGTGCGGTAGATAAAAACGGTGCGCAGAGTGCAACTTCAACAACGAAAGCCTTGGGCCGTTATGAGACTGAAGCTGAAAATTGCGTACTTTGCGAGACGCTTGGTGAGTAACCATTCGAAGTGTGATAGAGTATTTTAAAATAAATTTCCGCCACCCCTTTGCCAACATTGGTTCGAGATGTATTCGTATATTAAGTACGTGATTAAAAAAAAAAAAACATACGCGTGCAGTGCACATCCGATAGAAGTGAAACCTTCATAAAATCATAGGAAATTTCCTGGAGTCTTTTTTAAGGGTCCGCTGTACTTCTGGTGTATATTTTTATTAAGCTCTCGTGAATTAATTTAACAATTTTATTTACTGGTTGATTGGGTGAAATATAAATTACCACAAATATAACTGTTCTCTCATGGTCCAACCTGCTTTCACAAGCAAATTTGAACAGACATTGATTCCAGTTTTTGTGCATTGAGTTCTATTTGTGGAAAACTATACGAACTCCGTCATGTGTGTTACGGTGGATTACAGCTCCGCCACTCTCGTCACTGGACTTATATTGGACCATATCAAAATTACGAATATCTAAAGCTTTCTCATTATCCACCAACGTCTCTGAAAGAATTAGAAAATTCGACGATGATGCTATTTTGTCATCTGCTTGAAGATTGAAGGTAAACAGTGGCCACCCTGTACTTGCATTATAAAATCGTATAATAATTTTTCAATTGTTTCAAGTCAATTGTGGATACTGTTACTCTCAATGCACCGTGCAAGGGCTTTGCAAGGCTGCGAGAGTACCCCTATAGTTTCATATATCCTAGCTTTAAATGCAGTGGTGGTAGGACAACATTTTCAACTTTAACCAATTGGACATTTAAAGCGCTTTCCAGCCTATTTGATGCGGCTGTCGGGATGGCCGTACTATGCGACCCATAAAAAACTTCATATTAAAATAAAAACATGTCCATAAAAATGCATTTCCTTCATTCGCATTTGCACTGCTTCCCACATAAGTTGGGCCAGTTCAGTGATGAACAAGGCTAACACTTTCACCAAGAAATAGCTACATTTAAAACACGAAGGAAAAAATAAAATAAAGATGATATTAGAATATTCCTGGTAACGACAATTAGAAACTGATGATGCTAAATTATGAAAACAACGGTCAAGCAAACATTTTTGAGTTGTATAGCCAAAAATAATATCTTTGCAAAAATTTTGTTTTATAAAAAGTTTAATAACTCATAAAACTTGCATCATTATTATATTTAGTTTTAGAACCAATTTAAGACTATTATAGTCTTCTTATAAAATAGTGCGTAAAAACCTTACCGAAATTGAAAAAAGGCGATAGTAAAAAATAAATGTGTTTGCAGGATAAATACACACAGATCTCTCAAGGTTTCTTTATTCACAAATATGTATATCTTCTTTCTAAATCCGGTAATAAACTGAAACTCGGTTCACAATCAATTAAGTTACAGGCTTATAACTGCGCCAAAGTACGAAAAACCGTGTTTTAAAGGGAAAATGAAGATTTTGGAGGTGTTTGACAAATTTCATATTTCGGTTCTTGTTTTACTCAAAAATACCTTTCTTCCTTTTTGTAGCACTGTGTAATTCATTGGCTCCAGTGTATAATAATATGAAAAGGGTATTTTATACTAAATATGAATGTGGAAATTTATGTTAAAATTAATAACATTTTTATTTTTTTAGAACTGTTGCCAGCTCTTTAGAAAAACGAAAAATTCACATAAAATGACGCACAAGAAATGGAAAAGGAATTTCGTTATATCAAAATTTCTTAGATCAGTTTGCAGCTCACAAAAAAAAAGCTCGTATATTTATTTCTTGCAGAAAATTTACAGCAAAAACAAAGTGCTTTTTCAAGCAATAGAAATAATGGAAAATATTTCTTGTGATTTTTCTTGAGAGCAGGGCTCGAATCGTCACATACAATATCGTATTACCCGTATCGTAAAATTACATTTTTCGAATTACGACGTGCGTGAACGTTCTTTTTATACCATTCAGCTTATACGACTGACATATCACGTAATTTTCCTTCGTATGGTTTTCGATCCGTGAACGAGTGTTACCGTTCGAGTCCTGGATTCTAAGCTTTATGAACTACATTTTATTAATTGTATACCAAAATATTGTAAAAAACATGTACTCTGCCGTTTTTAAATATTTTATGTTTAAGGTACTGCTTTCGCGCAAAAAAAAAATCTGGCAACCCTAAATCAAACACTTATTTAACTCTACACAGAATCTTCTTTAAATCGTCTGACGCTATCGCACAAATTAGTTACTTTCATTCTTATCGAATTAATTCCTAATTGCAGTATCGCTTTCGTATTGGTGGAAGAGTTCTTCTTGACAGCGGATATGAACTCGAAGAAAACGATACCATCGGCGATTATTTTCATAGAAATGTATCGAATTAGTAACTTCCGCGATAGAAGATTCTAAAAGTTCCCAGTCGGGATTGGTTGCTTCCAAAATATAGTTCTTTTTCCATTCAGAGGTAGTTCCAAAAAGATGCAGCCTTTAATTCGCTTTTATATAGGCGTTAAACACAGCAAGGACGGTTCCTTACAAGGAAATTTGCATGAGATGAGTTTTGTTGCTTTGGAAAGCTTTGCAGAATTTTTATTGTCGCTCAGACTTATTTTCCGAAGTCAAAGTATTACAAAATTCTGATTTAAGCAGTGCAGTTTTCTCGAGTTACAGATTTTTAGCCTTCCAGTGTGATGACAAAAAGGTGCGATTACTTTTCCATCGAAATTTTTAGTAACTTTTCATACACAAATTAAACACTTTCATTCGCTGATTTCTCTATAAGTACATACATATGTATGTGTAACAGGTGTGCCTAAAAATATGGAGCCATGTGAATTAAACTTATCCACTTCTTAAATTCCGCTGCATTATTGGGTTGTAGATAAATTTAAGTTTACTTTTTTTCTATTTTCAGAACGCATTCCCGCAACATCGAATACAACTTTCTC